TTTATGGCCCAACATTAGCCTCCTTTAGCTTAGCGGTGGTGACATGAAGTCATGTGACCGTGCTGTAGTTCCTTCATAGCCCAACATTAGCCCCCTTTAGCTTAGCGGTGGTGACGTGAAGTCATGTGACTGTGCTGTAGTTCCTTTATAGCCCAACATTAGCCACCTTTAGCTTAGCGGTGGTGACGTGAAGTCATGTGACCGTGCTGTAGTTCCTTTATAGCCCAACATTAGCCTCCTTTAGCTTAGCGGTGGTGACGTGAAGTCATGTGACCGTGCTGTAGTTCCTTTATAGCCCAACATTAGCCTCCTTTAGCTTAGCGGTGGTGACGTGAAGTCATGTGACCGTGCTGTAGTTCCTTTATAGCCCAACATTAGCCTCCTTTAGCTTAGCGGTGGTGACGTGAAGTCATGTGACCGTGCTGTAGTTCCTTTATAGCCCAACATTAGCCTCCTTTAGCTTAGCGGTGGTGACGTGAAGTCATGTGACCGTGCTGTAGTTCCTTTATAGCCCAACATTAGCCACCTTTAGCTTAGCGGTGGTGACCTGAAGTCATGTGACCGTGATGTAGTTCCTTTACAGCCTAACATTAGCCTCCTTTAGCTTAGCGGTGGTGACGTGAAGTCATGTGACCGTGCTGTAGTTCCTTTATAGTGAACTCAACATCAGATTCATGGTTGTTATGGTCCATCGTTTCGGCCTCACTAAATTGGCGTTTCTTTGGCAAATTTTTTAACCTTCCTCTTGGATTCACGCTCACAATCTGGCGTCTTTAGCTAAGTTTTTGTGAAACATGAGGCCAAAATCGTCCCGTACTGCAAAATAAAATGAAAAGAGAAAATCCATGCAAAAGGTGTTAAATCTGCCTGTTCAGTTATTCAGTTCAAGTAGATTTACTTTTTTTAATTCAAGCTTAATCAGTTAAGATTGTCTTTGCAGTTTGAAAATGTCATAAAAGATTTTTTTTTTTACATCTCTAAATTAGAATCTGCTTCACCCCTCTATCCTTCACAGTTTTATCTTGAGCAGCCCTAACACAGCCCTGATTCAGGCGGCCTTTAAACTGATAGAAATCTGAGTTATCCATTTAAATTAGACGTTTTTTAGGGAGAATATAAACTTTGATTTCTCTTGCAGCTCGTCCTCCCTGCAGATCTGTTTCCTCTGAACCGGCCCTCTGCTGCAGAATATCTCCACTTCCTGTTCAACATCTGCACACCGCTCATTCTGCTCAAAGTAACCAACACACAGTAAAACACAACATGGAGGAGTACATCATTATTATGCCTCTTACATGTGGCTGCATTACAAAATGTGTATTAGTGTGTAATACGTTGTTTGTGATACTTTGTGTGCACACAAAGTATCACAAACAACGTATTACACAATGAGTGAAAAACAGAGAGTAATACACACAAAGTATTACACACAAAATAATACACGTGGAGTAAAAAAACACAGAGTTTTACACACAAAGTAAAAAACAAACAATAATACACACTATTCAAGACAGAGTAATAAAACGTTATTTTTCCCTGCAGATGATTGAGCGCAGCTCCCGGTCGTTGCCCCCCCTCGCCGTACACCTGGGCGTTATTGCTGTTGCCATGGGAACCAGCCTCCACCTGGTGACGGACGCCATCACGCGACGGCTCGTGCTGATTGGCTACCAGCTGCACCTGTCCGTCAGAGATAACCCAATCATGGAGGAGCTCCGCCCCCCCGCCCTGGTGGGTTAGAATACATTTAAATTGATGATGTTTATTTATTTGTAATCATTTTCTAATCTCCAAACGACATTTTATTTTTTTTATTTTCACAGATCGATGCTTTTGAGCTCCTCTGTTTCTTTGACGACACCATTGGTCATCTGATGTGGTGAGAAGCAGGAGAGGACTCTTTAAAGTAGAGACACTACATACTGATATACACCTGAACATCAGCAGGAGAGGACTCTTTAAAGTAGAGACACTACATACTGATATACACCTGAACATCAGCAGGAGAGGACTCTTTAAAGTAGAGACACACATACTGATATACACCTGAACATCAGCAGGAGAGGACTCTTTAAAGTAGAGACACTACATACTGATATACACCTGAACATCAGCAGGAGAGGACTCTTTAAAGTAGAGACACTACATACTGATATACAGCAGTCATTTACAATTACAAATGTCACGCACTGCTTGCCTCACTCTTCCCTCTCTATTCAGACCTTACTTTACCCACAGAGTCTGTGATTAATGATGTTTCACATGCAGATCCATCAATATATACGTTGTGCAGCATTTGTCTTTCCCCTGATTATTCCT